CTTCTTAGTGATTTGAGGATTCAGAGATGTTGTTCTTATTASAGATGATAGTATTGATGTTATGGATTGGGAAAAATATGGCCTTTGGTCATGGATTTTGGATAAAACTGTTTTGATCATACTGTTGAACCAGAGGTATCACAAAGGCTCTAAGTATACCTGTCAAGAAACCAGAGGGCTTTGGTTGGTATTTATTTTAATGAACCAGAAGGGTCTAGTTAGTGTTTGAAAACAATGCAAGTGTTTTTGCATAGTCTGTTGTGAAAATCAGAAGCTCTGTATCTGTAGATACAGAGCTCTGTATCAAAATTGGTCTATTGCACAGAAGCTCTGTATTTGTTAAAAACATAGATCTATATTAAAATTGGGTTTTTGTGCAAAGGCTCTGTATCCGCTAGATACAGAGCTTTTCTTTTAAAATAAGGCTTCTGCATACAGAGGCTCTGTATCTGTGGATAAAAGCTCTGTATCGCATTTTAAAAGGTTCATGCAGAGGCTCTATATCTGTGGATAAGAGCTCTGTATCATAATTGAACTTTCGCATACAGAGGCTCTATATCCGGTTGATAAGAGCTCTGTATCGCATTTCAAGTGTTTTTGTACAGAGGCTCTGTATCTATCGATAAGAGCTCTGTATCATGCAGAAGTTATGTATCTGAAGGTAAGAGCTCTGTATTAGCTCTATATCTATCGGTAAGAGCTCTGCATCATACAGAAGCTCTGCATCTGAAGATAAGAGCTCTGTAATATGTTTTCTTATCTTAAAGGTTTTTCACAAAGAAGTTATGTATCTGAAGATAAGAGCTCTGGTTGGTCTTGATTTTAGACTAGAAGCTCTGGATTGAGAAACCAGAGGCTCTTGTTAAACTTAAAGCCCTTTTATAAATATTTTGGTTTTGAACTAGAGGTTCTGGATTGAGGAACCAGAAGCTCTGGTCATAAATCTAAAAGAGTTTTCAAATGTTTTTATACTTGGCGAACTTTCTTATAATAGTCCAGAGGGGCTCTGGATGGCCTTGAGCGCTAGTCTGGAGGGGCTCTGGATGGTCTTACGCGAAATTCCAGAAGCTCTGGTTGAGCGTGCATGTATTGTCCAGAATCTCTGGAAGAGGAACCAGAGGGGGCTTTGGACCTCTTGTCGTCAAATTTTCTAAGTGTTGATTTTTGACCAGAGGACCGATGGACCAAAGCAGAATATGTTTTTATGCCACATTTTGTGATAAAGGTTTTGGTGTTTATCACCCTGCACTGCATGAAAAAGGGGAATCTCCCTAGACTGTTGTCTAACCCTCAATTTGTGTTTTTCAATTATATGTGTGCAGGAAATACCAGCTATAGTGATAAGGGGAAAGACATACTATGATTTTATTTTTACATGCATGCGGGAGGATAAGAACTCATAGGAATTACATTTGCAAGAACTTGTATTTGAATTTTTTGAGTTATACAGTTTGCAATGTAATCTCTTATTGTTTTGGACCTATGTGGGAATGAAATATGAATTTCCTGTTAAAGAATTATATGTTATATGCAATGTGAAGATTGGGGTGTAATAAAAATATTTTTAAAGTACATTGTTGTAATAAGAAAAACTGAAAGTAGAATGTTATAATAAGAAAATTTGTAAAAGTAGGTTGTTATTTCGTGCATTTTGCCCTTGTTGATATACATCAATAAGAAATAAAAGCTGGAAAAATATGTTTAATTGTATCCAACCCCCGTTCTACAATTACTTTATGTTTATTGTCATCCCATTCGGGATCAACAAGGGGCATTCAAAAAACCGTCGAACCGTTCAAATTGGTCGAACCAAGTCAAACTAGACCGCTTTTTGGCGGATCTAGTGGTACGGTTTGGTCTGAAAAATAGTCAAACTACACCGTCCGTCCGTTCTACGGTTTGAACAATTTTGAGCAGTTTGAACCTGATCGACCGCCAAAACAAACATGTATTAGTTATACTTAGTTTTCATGTAGTAGATTCAACCTTTGTAACTTAATAAAAAACAGTCCGTCCAAGACACTAAACTTTTAGTTTTTATTTCTCAATTGTTCGTGTTTCATAAATCGAAGAAAATTCCGAAATCCATCAAAAATCAAAATCCAAAATTTCAAATCTTGATTCGACTTACTCAATATTTTCCCAAAATTCCAATTATTGTTGGTGAAATTGTTTTAACTTTTTTTTTCCAACTTTCTCAATGTTCTAATTTTAAATTTTGGAGATATATGTTCCTTTATAATTCGGTTTAGTATTTTTTTTTTAATAATGTTATACACCGTAGAAATTTCATTTTGGAGATGGATGTTATATATTTTTAGTTTAAAACTCTATAATTGTCCTAAAGGTCTAAATCGGTCGAAACAAACCGTTTTTTATAGTCCGGTTTGGTCATTTGTTGGTAAATCACTTAGTTTGGAAAATTTCCTAAGCCGCAAATATGGTTTGACTTTGGAGGGTTAAACCGTCCAAACAAAACCGCAAATACCCTTATTTTTAACTCTCTTGTCACCAAATTGATGACATGGCTTTATGTGATAGGTGGATGAGTCCATTATATTATATAAAACCAGACAGTGTCTTTTATTTTTCATTCCTATTAATTATTGTTTAATACCTCTAACCAACCATTCTCGGTATCAATGCTCATTCCCACTCCTTATCCCCGGTTACCACAAACCAAACAACCCCTTTTTTTCTTAGATTTCGAAAAATAGACAAACAAATATGTAAACAACTTAATTAACAAGATCGGCTGATCAAGCAATTAGACCGTTAGACAAAATGTTTTCAAGGCATTTGATGTAATGTATGGGTACTTTTATGGTCTCCTGGGGAATATGAGTCTGGTCTGGTTTCGTACAAAACTTTTACGTCTATCAATGTCTTTGCTTCTCCGACCTCGGTGAACTTGAAACCAGTTGTGTATGACCAAAACCCATTATCCAGATACCCACCTTCAAGAGCGATTCATCAACCTCTATGATCTCCTTTTGGCACAACTAACAAAAAAAAAATCAAGAATATCAAGAGACCATTCTACTAAAAACGCCTATTGGTCGTTGAGGTGATCATTTATGAGCTTGTTTGCCAGACCTAACAAATTTAGTTTAAAAAAAAAAAGGTAATACATACAGCATAAGCTCCTATTAATATTTTATTTTTATAAATAAGGTATCAGTAATAAGACAATATTTTTGTAAAAAGAATTGATATGATGCATGTCCGAAATTATTGTTGCTACATCTATATCCATCCATTAATCTTAATGGTTCAGTTTGGTGTCGCTCATTTTTTCGAAAATAATAATCCAAACCTGTTTCTTTTATGGGCCAATCCAAACCGACACTTATAATATCAAAAACACTAGTTTAATGATGAATTGAGACTTATCTCAAGAGTAACACACTCATTCGAGCAACTCGACTTCCGCCATGAAATCTGGCAAAACCTTGGGAATCGTTCACCTTATCTCACTCGACATCGCTTTCCATAAGTCTCCGATATGATGGGCACAAAAATTATAGAAAATCCCCATAATACATAGATTTAAGCATCTTTTCATTGTGATGCCAAATGGGTAATAATAATATAATATATTTTTTTGGTGGGCTAATGAGCCGAGAAAAAACCCTGACCTCATCTTATTCTCCAAAATTGGATAATTAGATTGGATCGAATTTAAAATTTGAAAATGTAAATTACATCAATCCGTTATTTGATGATGGTTCAAAATCCAATAAAAACCAAACCGATATCAAATATATTACTATTAGCATTACCCATCCAATAAGTTCAAACAAGGAATGGCGTCAAAATATGAGAACAAAAGAATGAACAAATAATTGTACACCGAAATCACGTGATAACAGAATACGGTGAACACGAAATCGCAGCCAAAATCTCGACATAATCACATGTTCTCTTATTTTGACATTGTTCTCGTTTGAACCTAACTCTTTTTTTTATCTCTCTCTCTATATAATCAATAGTAGTTTTGCATTTTTAATATTATTAATTTCAGTGTTATTGAAAAATAAAAAATAGCAAAAACTTAATCAAAATCAAAAGTTCAAATAATTAACTTAACTTTTTATATTTGTATCTGGTATTTTAATTCATTTCTTTTCCTTATGATTGTGTTATTAATTATGTTGGTATGGATATTTAGTGTTTTTATTTGATATTTGTGTGTATATATATATATATATATATATATATATTTAGAAAATTAGGAAAATATATTATTAACCGGATCAAAATATGAGATGGAATCGATCCAATACAATGAACAAACAATAGTAATATCTCATGGATGTGACGTAACTATCGATTGGATTTGATTAGATCAATTATCTAAAGTCATTTGCACCGGATCACTCGGTAAAATCCAACATCCAATGGATTATTGGATTGGAACTGTTCCATCCACATACATTAGATCTCAACCCGTGAACACTACTACAAAGCTTGTCTATGGTACTCAACTAGTCGTCTAAATATCATTTTGAATCGTACTTTTGAAACCAACATTTAAGGGTGTATGCATAAAATTGGACATAAATATTGCGGATAAATTTGACATGACTTCATTGACGCGACCTTGAAATCACGATTGATATCGTGAAGTGTATTGAAATACAACCGAAAGGGTCTTTTCCCTAACGGTAACGTTATCAATAGAGGCCAGCCTCCTAGGATGTCAGCGGTTCAAACCTCACTAAAGGTATGAAAACTATGTGAGTTCATTTGCTGCATATAAAATTATATACTGAAAGGCATACATGAATTCTTAAGTGACCTTATAGTCGCGATTGATGTCGGAAGTTGCATGGTAAGAATGCTTATGATACACACGGCTTCCAATTGTGTCTTGAATCACAAATTCTGTATTTGTAATCTATAACAAACTTTTTTGAAGCTATCAGTATTATCAATACACACTACATTTCTGCGTAGCTAAGTGGTTTGAGTTCACCACCGCACACTACAAACTCGCGTACAAGAAAATGGTAACTCGATTCACTATTAACGGTTTTTCAATATATAAAGCATCTGATATCCAAATTAATAGTTACATGTCAAAACGGTCTCCAAAATTCTAACAGGCCTAACAGAAACAAAACACGAAAAAGGCATAACGAATATCAAAAATTAATGTGCATTTTCCATTTATGTTCGGAGTCGGGGTCGATCAACTTGCGAGATGCTTGCCACAATTGCGCTTCAATTCCCAATTTCCGAAGCTCAACAAGACCACGCTCAACTGCAATACGAGTGCAAATTGTTACAATCAAAATATATCAAAATATGATCGCTAATTGAAGCAAGTGTTTATCCTCAAGGAGATATAAAAAATCCACAAACAATATATATATATATATATATAGAGAGAGAGAGAGAGAGAGAGAGAGTTCGGATCAGGTGATAATTTTTTCACTTTTTATGAGAACGGAAAAACAAGTGAAGGTACCTTTATATGGTGTGTAACCTTCACATCACCTTTAATTGTGAGGATATGTAATATTGTGGGAATGTTGTAACAGTATAAGGGTACTTTCACAGTTCTCACGACAAACCTTACGACAAATAACATATATAATGGTACCTTCACTTGTTTTCCGTTCTCATAAAGATGGTTGTTCTCACCAGTTCAGTGAGAACATAGAAAATGTTGACAACCGTGAGAACATGTGAAACATGCATAGTTGTTCCATATTGTGAAACAAATAAATGTGAAATCCTAGCCATAGAGGAATCAAATAAATGTGAAACAATATGTTGAGATTAGTTCTCATGGTTTCTGAGGTTCTCAATTGATTTGCCCCATGTATGTATGTGTGTGTGTGTATATATATATTGTTAAACGAGTTTTGGTGATGGGTTCAAGTAATCGAAACCTTTGCTTAGTAAAATCAAGAGAAAGGTTGCATATAAGGATTTCTCCCCAAATGAGGTCTCCTTTTTTAACTTAACCATAAGACAGAGAGAGAGATGGTACCATCAACAGCATCATGTGAAGTGGGTGGACGATCACCTTGGTTCATCCAGAACTGCAACCGCTCGTCTACAATATCGGGTTCTAACTCATGAACTTTTACCCTTCTCCAAAAATACATAAGCCAAGCCTGCAACAGCATATGTTAATTTAAACATCAACTCATTATTTTAACCATTTACTTCATCGACTACACACCAATCTATGCAAGTTATTTCATTTTCTGAATCTCATGTTTTAAGAACACAATCTTATTTTCAATCTAATGCACTCGTTGGAAGGATAGTTGCAGCAAGCAGGGCCGTCCCTGGGGGAGGGCGGGCCGGGCGTACGCACAGAGCCCATAAAAATTAGGGGCCCAATTTTTTTAATACATATAATAGTAGTTCAAAAAAATTAATAAATAGAAGACACATAAAAAATTAGTGTCTAATATGACAAGAAAATATTTTTGTACTACATTAACTATTAAAGATCCAAACATGTATGAATTAAATATATTGGAGAAAAAAACACATAAAGATATTAATCTGTCGTTCATTATATAATATCATTTAATGTTTTTCTAAGTTTTTTTTTATCTAAAACCGACGTCTAAAACTACTTGCTTCGAAAACTTTGATATATTCTCCATAATTTATCTCTCATCGATCTTTTCGCGTGAATTCTATTTTTATATTAGAATATGATAGATTTTTTTGTTATTAGGTAACAAAACCCCCATCTTTGGAAAAAAAAAATTATCAACCATATAAGACGGTACAACTTATATTTATATTTAGAATAATAAAACTAAAATTGTTTTTTCATAGTTGTTCTTTATTATCTAATATTTAATGTATAAATCTTATGTATTATTCTATCTCTAAAAGAAAAATAAGATCTCAAACTATCACCAATATGAGTTTTTTTAATTTATATAATCGATGATTCCATAAAAGTTTGTTTTAACCCTAACTCTATGTTATTGAGTCTTCTTTTACGTAAGAAAGAGAGGAAAGTAATGGGGGAAGAAAAATATTCTGTTCTCGAGATTTTTTTAGGGAAAGGAAAAGAAAAAAATTATATAAAAATTTATTTTTATTTCATTATTTTTCCTTCCTCTCTCTTCTCTATTAAAAACACAAATAAAAAACTTTATTTTTCTTCTTTCCTTTTATTTTCTTTTCCTTTCTCATTCATTCTTTCCTTCCAAAATTCGAAAACACAATATAAAAGTTTAAAATGGTGTTAATCTTCTCAAATTCGAAAATATAGTATAAAAGTTTAAAATTGTGTTAATTTTCCCAATTCGAAAACATAATATAAAAGTTCAAAAAGATGTTAAAAAACATTAACATGAGATGACATGGAAAATCAACCTTTTTACATTGATTTACATAGTGTCACTCGGAAATCAGAAGAATCGACTTTGTGACTCCAAATGATATTATTCTATGTACCAAAAGTATATCATAAGATGTTTTTGATGATGAAACAAATTAGAAATGAGTATTGATTGATTCAGCGTTCAGGAATACTCGAAAAAATGGTTTTATATGAATTCAATGTTAATTCTGATGATAAAAACAATATATTGAAAAAATATCGTACTTATCGAGGGCCATTTTTTACATCTCGTCCAAGGCCTAAAAAATGCCAGAAACGGGCCTGGCAGCAAGACTCACGAGAAGAGTAGTTTAAACGATGCAATTTTCATGGGACATTCAGCACAAAATGGCAGTGGCGTAGGTTATAGGTGGTCTGATGGTAGCTGTAGAAATGGCACGTAGGTGGTCTGATGGTAGCTTGTATGTTTGGTTGTCAGAATTTGATTTTGATGACATTAAAATATTCAAGCAAAGATTGATTTAAATTTAAAGTGCCTAAATGTGTGTAGCAATCAATCTTTATCAAAGTCTTGACCTTAACTCCATCACCATCCCCACTAACCTATCTGAGGCATTATTCAATGAAAAATGGAAGCAAGCCATGAATGTTGAAATGCAGGAACCCAAAAAGAACAAAACATGGGATTGGGTAAATTTGCCAGAAGGGAAAAGGCTGGTAGGATGCAAATGGGTCTATACCGTGAAGTATAGGGCTAATGAGTCGAACGAGGGGTATAGAGCAAGGTTGGTGGCCAAGTGATATACACAAACTTTTGGCATCGATTACTTGGAAACATTTGTGCGGGTTGCAAAGATGAATACAATTAGAGTAATTATGTCCCTAGCTGCTAAGCTTGGTTGGTAATTACATCAATTTGATGTAAAAACGCATTTTTGTATGGAAAACTTGAGGAGAAAATTTACATAGAAGTCCCGCTTGGTTATGAAAGAAGGATGGGTACCAATACAAGTGTAAATTAAAGAAGGCATTATACGGTTTGAAACAATCTCCTCGGGCATGGTTTGGAAGATTCCCTAAAACTATGGTTTCCCTAGGATACAATCAAAGTCAAGGGGACCATACTTTGTTCATCAAACACTCAAAGTCCGGGAGAATAACGGTCTTTCTAGTGTATGTTGACAATGTCATTGTGATGGGTAATGACGAAAAGGAGCAACAAGCCTCGAGTCAATGTCTAGCCAAAGAATTTGAGATCAAGACGTTGGGAAAACTAAAGTATTTCCTTGGAATTGAAGTTGCTCATTCCAGAAAGGGGATTTTTACATCTCAACATAACTATGTTACTGATTTGCACATAGAAGTAAGACAAGGTGCATCCAAACCAGCAAGTACTCCTATATACCCGAACCATAAATTGGGAAACGCAAAATAAGATGGCATGGTGAACAAAGAAATCTATCAGCATCTTGTTGGGAGACTAATATACTTGTCTCATACCAGACCAGATATAGCAAATGTAGTAAGCATGATCAGTCAGTTCATGCATAATCCAAAGGAGTCTCACTTGCGAGCTGCATACATGGATTTTACTGTACCTCAAAGGAACACCAGGAAAAGGAATTTTATTCGAAAAAAACAATAGTGTGACCCTTGAAGCTTATACTTATGCAAGTTATGCTGCATCATCGATTGATTGTAGATCAACAACAGGGTAGTGCACCTTTCTTGGAGGAAACCTTGTAACATGAAGAAACAAGAAACAAAGTGTTGTAGCACGGTTCAGTGCAGAAGCAGAATTCCAAGCAATGGCACACGGTATATGTGAACTATTATGGCAGAAAATCATCCTAAAGAATTTGAAGATTAACTGGGAAGGGCTAATGAAACTCTATTGCGACAATAAGTCAGCAATAAACATCGCACAAAACCTGTTCAGCACGACCGGACCAAGCATGTAATAGGCGGTTTAAGTATTTTAAAGGTTTTAAATTTGTTTGGTAAATTGTGGTGGTTGAGGTAAGAGTATGGGTGTGAGTGTATGTGTGCTATAGTTTTGATTATAAGTATTAATGGGAAAAATGGGGAGTCAGCGGTATGCACCACCCTTTAACTCTCCATATTACTATAAATAGTAAATGGTTTTACCAGAAAAAGTTTATACACTCATACATTAGGAAAGAAAAAGGGTTTGGGAGCAATTCGGAGATCTAAGTCGCAGGCAGAAATCCGGTCATTATCAACATTCAAAGGTGAGTGTTATGTGCTTGATATATCAATTGTTTGTATGTCAATTTGATTGTTTTTGGAATTAGCTTATTATGATTCATTAAAATATATTGTGCGGATTCTACCTAAACCGGACAAGTGATGTCCTGATTCTACCTAAATCGGTCAAGGGGTGACCGGATTACCCCTACACCGGTCAAGGGGTGACCGGATTTTCACTAAACCGCTCATGTGTCATCCGGTGAATGTCCTAAATCGCCCAAATGTTAATCGAATTAGAGCTAAATCGCTCATTCTATGTCCGATTTACCCTCTTTGTATCCTAAGTAATTGTCCGGATTTCATATCCGGACAAGGATGACCGGACTTCAAATCCGGCTAAAGATACTTGAATTTCATTATCGTTTTTGGTTTGATTTTTGAAATGGCGTTGTAACCGCGAGAAAGATGAAATGGCGGTGTAACCGCGAGAGAAATGAAAGGACATGTGATAAATATAGATAAAATGCTCGTGTCTGTATAGGTTTGATTCTAAACTACTAGTGTAGAAAGTATGTTATTTGTATGAGATATGTACACTCAAATGTGCCTTTGTATCTCACACTTTCAGCTCCACCGGCGAGAAAATTTTATTATAATCAACCCCTTGCTCTTGGCTATAACCTCTAGCCACCAAACATGCCTTGTATCTCACACTTTCAGCTCCGGGCAGCCCCGTTTTTCGCTTAAAAATCCACTTACAGGTCACAATTTTTCTGCCTTGAGGTAATTTTATTAACTCCCAAGTTCTATTCTTGTGAAGGGATTCCATCTCTTCACTCATGGCTGTTATCCACACATCAACCTCCTTCGTTGTGATTGCTTCTTTGTAAGTAGATGGCTCAAAGAACTACATTTCTTCAGCAACTTGCAGAGCATAGGCCACCATGTCATCAAACCCATATTGAATTGGCCTACCAACTTGTCTTCGGGGATTATCCAATGCTACAGATCGAAATTCTGCAGGCTGGTGCTGATTTTCAGGTACAAAGTTTGTGGTTGAGGCGAGTTACAGTGCTGTCCAGCAGTATTCTCGTCTTCATCGAGACCATTTAGCTCGTACTCCATGTGTTCGACACACTCTCCTCTTTAACACTTGGAGTAGATGAGCACCTCACGCCACGTAACATACTCTCCTCATTAAACACTACGTCACGGCTGAGAATCACCTTTCTTTTATCAAGAGACCAAATTTTGTAGCCCATTACTCCAATTCTGTATCCCATAAATAACCCCTTCTTTGATCTTGGTTCCAATTTTCCTTCACTAACATGATAGTATGAAGGACAACCAAATATCTTAAGCCTGGGTAATCAGCCAGCTTACTGGACCACACCTCAATAGGAGTTTTACAATCAATTGCCGTTACCGGGGATCTATTCACCAAGTAGGAAACCGTGTTTAACGCTTCTGCCCAAAAACTTCTATTCAACCCAGCATTTGACAGCACACATCTCACTCTCTCCAGCAGCGTTTTGTTCATCCTTTCAGCTACTCCATTCTGCTGTGGAGTGTGCCTAACCGTTCGATGCCTTGCAATTCCTTTGTCTTTACAAAACGATCAAACTCACTTGAACAAAACTCCAATCCGTTGTCCGTTCGCAGCCGCTTTATCTTCTTCCAACCTGATTTTCAATGAGAACTTTCCAATCTTTAAATTTCTCAAATGACTCACTCTTATGCTTCATAACGAATACCCAAGTCATCCTAGAGTAGTCGTCAATAATTGAGAGAAAGTAAAAACCACCACGAAGGAACTTGCGAGGGACCCCAACAATCAGCATGTAGGTCATCTAAAGTCGACTTGGTTGTATGGACGGCTTTTGAGAAACTTACTCTGCCTTGTTTTCCAAAGACGCAATTCTCACAAAAGCCCAATTCAACAACTCTATGACCTCCAAGAAGTCCTTTCTTGATGAGAATTACCATGCCTTTCTCACTTGCCCTAGCCTCATGTGCCACAAACGTGTCATTTCTGACTCATTTTCTACGAAATTAATGGTTGGTGCTGCTGATCCAACAACCGTACTACCTTCCAACACATACAAGGTACCTCTCTTTTGTTAGATGTGGCTTTAATTGAATTAATTTAGTTTTATTTTTCTGTTCTGGCATATCTTAACTGTTTCCTACAAATAGTTGGATATTTTCTCTTTATAAAGTTTAGTCTCAATTCGTTTCGTAATAAAATTCCTGCAATTCTCTCTACAATGTTTTCTCTAATTTCTCAACAAATTGGTATTAGAGCCTAGGGTTCCTCCCAATTGCTGATAGTTCAATCCCTTAGTCGTTTTCTTTTCTTTTGAATTGATAATCGCTTTCATCAATCGTCTTTTTGTGGACAATCTTTTGGGTCTTTCTGGTGTTCGATTCAAGGTGGAGCTTCTCGTTTCTGAAATTGATGGTGTAAATCGACGGATTCAGTAGTCTTTTTGGTGATCGATTGGTTTTTCGGAACTGAATCAGCGATCGATTGGAGTCTGACATCTTGAAATTGACGATCAATTTGGTTTCTGGAATTGAAATTGACGATCGATTGGGAAGCGTATATGAAATTGGTGATTGATTGAAGGCTAGAAATTGAAATCGGCGATGGTTTGCAGTCTCGCATTAGAAATTAATGGTCGATGGGTGACAGGCGACTAGTGTTTTTTTTTATTCGGTTCAATCAAGACTTTGAAAATGCCTCCACAAATGATCAAGATTGACAAGTTTACAGGAAAGAACAACTTCAACCTATGGCGAATCAAGATGAGAGCTCTCCTAAAACAACAAAGCATTTGGATTCCCTTGGCTGGTGAAAGGCCTAAGGGATGGCTGAATTTGAATTTGCACAGCAAGATGAGAAGGCTCACTCTACCATCTTGTTGTCTTTGGCAGATGAGGTGATTTATGAAGTTGCCGATGAGGAGACTGTTGCATCTTTATGGCAGAAACTAGAGAGCCTCTACATGACCAAGTCAGTAACGAACAAGTTGTTAAAGCAGAGGTTATTTTCATTACGAATGAAGGAGGGAATGCCTTTGAAGGAACATCGTGACGAGTTAAACTCCATTCTTATGGGTTTGAAGAATGTTGAAGTCAAGATTGAAGATGAGGATGCCACCCTCATCTTATTGGTTCCGTTGCCCACTTCATATGAAAATTTTGTCAACTCATTCGTTGTTGGTAGAGACACAATTACAATGGAAGAAGTTCGTTCAAGTCTGCACTCACGAGAGTTGCAAAATAAAGCTTCAGGAAGTAGTCCCGAAATTCAATCGGTTGGCTGTCGGTGGTAAACGGAGATAGAGACAGAGGTAGAGATAAAAGCAGAGAGAAAGGAAAAGGGAAGTGGAAAATTAGAGGCCGATCAAGATCGAAGACTAGAGGTCTAAGTAGAAACCCAAGGGATAGCTCTCACTATTGTAATGAACTGGGTCATTGGAAAAATGAGTGTCCAAAACTAAACTCAAAAGGCTCCGCTGCTGTAGCAAAAGATGATTCGGATTCGGAGGCTGATTTGGTGCTCTTGGTGGTTGATTGCAAAAGTCAGTCGCGTGTTCATTTCACATGACACGACATAAGGATTGGTTTAAAACTTATGATAAGATTGCAACCGGAAATGTCTTGATGGGAAATGATGTGCCGTGCAATGTTGTTGGAATTGGTTCTGTGAGCATTAAATTGCATGATGGGACTGTGAGAACTCTAATTGATGTTCGTCATGTACCCGGGTTGGAGAAAAAATTAATCTCTTTGGGAGTGTTCGATTCAAAAGGCTTCAAGTACACCGGTGAGGGTGGAGTAGTCAAGACCGATTTGCACAATCATACTCCATTGCGCCCAATTTGTAGAGTTGAGTTTAACTGGAATCTTTAACACAAAAGAAAAATTAATTATTCCCGGAACAGTGAAGTCAGCTGATGTCGACGTCAATTATGGAGCTCTCCCTGTAGGTAACATTGTTGGACTTAGGTTTATAAAAGGCTGGAGTTTGTGAGGGTCGCAATGATGGTTTTATATATATAAAGGGCTGAATCTGGATCTGGATACAAGGGACAACAGCAAACAGAAAAAAGGGGGAGTGTGCTCCAAGGTTCTAGATCTGGGAGTTTGAGACAGCAAAACATGAGGCTTCATGTTTCTATATCTTCATGGTTCTGGACTGGAAACAAGACAACAAGCAGTAGAAGAATAGAAGCGGATCCTGAGGATCTGGCCTCCGGCAGTGGCAACAGATCTGGACGAAGAGGGTGGCGCCAGAGTCGGATCTGGAAGAGGAAGGTGGTGTCGGCGATGGATCTGAACGATAAGGGCAGCGGCTAGGGTTTCAGTAACATTCTGGCGATGGCAGCTAGGGTTCCGGCGGTTCAGCGGCGGCAGTTAGGGTCCCCGGCCAGGCTTTGATACCATGTTATCTTCAGGGATTGTATCTCACATCTTATTAACAAGGAAGGTAACTCAAACATATGCAACATTAAGTAACCTAATTAAGGAAAACCTAATATACTTGGCCAAGAAAGTAATCACCAAAATACTATATCTAATGTGATCGAAGTTTTTCCTAGTATCAGTTGCAATCTGGACTATTGACCGGTAAATGCATAGTTCAAAGAGGAGAAGACTTGTAAATAAACCAAACCAAACAAACCCAATATATCCTAACTGAGGTGGGTCTGGGAAGGGTAACCTGGCCTCTACCTCAATGAGTAGAGCAGTTGTTTTCGTGCGGCCAGGACTTTAAATGAGAACGCACAACTAGAATGCTTATATACACGAACCACAGACAAATTTCAACTAAATGCAGAATGCAAGAAAACCAACCCAAATCAGAATTGTGAGTGCAGTTAGAAGAATTATAGGAGTGGAACATACCTGCTTAAACAACACATCATCAGACTCCTGTTTACTCAGCTCTGAGAAAAAAAATTACAAATTTTTCTGTCAGAATAAAACCATATAGCCATGAGATACATTTATTGCAGTAGAAACTTGCTAGGACAAGTTTGAGAGTTAATTTCAAGAACATGAAAAAATATGTGAAGGTGGTCAGGTTCGAAGATCAATTAAAGTCAAGTAAAATGACTCCATTTCTATTTGTAGCTCTTCTGGGATCTTGCCAATTATATTTTACTAAAATCTAAGAATTGATTCATTTAACCCATATCATTTCATTCCTTATTTCCATTTTGCGATCCCATTATAAGACTCACAAACAGGAGAAAAGAAAAGAACATGGGCTAGACAAGTTGTCAATCAAATTTTACTTCAAGAACTTTGGAAATTCAACATCAGTCATCATGATTGTTCTTAATATGCCAAACACATGATTCTCTAAAATGTATCTGATATCATCAAACAAAAGGAAATGTATGAAGTGCAAAAGGGGACAACCTACTGAAATTTAAAACCCTAAAAATATAATATCAATTCTAAATAAGCATAGACTAATGCCTCTCTGTGTTGGAGCATATGAGTTGAACATGCCCAACTTGCTAAATATGAATAAAAATGTTGGCAACCAGAAAGAGCCATATAAGCTTAGTAGGACTTTTGCTCGCAGAAAATCACCTACGAACTTAACATTCCCTATGAAGAGGATGATGGATGATAACACTGATACCTTGTGATGTTGGAGTATCGAACATATGTGCACATTTTTTAACATTATTAGTTTACCTCGATTAAGTACATTCTTAAACCACTACGATGAGGCTAAGGACCTAAAAGGAAGAAGCAATAACGACATCCCTTCCCATCATACACACCATAGACATTTTTGCAATATCAGAGTTGGCTATGCAGCTATAAAGGGGGCATAAATATATTATAAACTTACCATATGCTTCAGCTGTATGCTGGCCCTTGATTGGTAGCTTCGATTCATCTACTGACATGACAAAGGAGAAACTAAAAATGAGCAATTATTCAGAAAACTGTATGCAAATATATTCATGTACATATTCAAAAGAAGCATTTCAGTTCCCCATTTTATATATGAAAACAACAATTAAAAAGCAAGGTCGCTCAAAATGTGTTGTAAAACAAAGAGACGTAACTTCTTTCACATTTTTGTCTTCAAGATAAACCAATCTAGTAGTGTTGGAAGTTGATTGTGCAATGTAGAAACAAATAATGACCAGATCATGTGGCCTTTGCATGCAACATGCAAATTCACCTAGTCCATAAGTGAACGTGAAGTAGTCTTGGCGGGTTTGTTGGTAAATTTAGTGTCATCAAACCATTTAGTGTGATTGAATTTACAGGAGAATGAAAGGGTTGTTAGCTAAAAAGCTATAGTACAGGTTAGGAGGCACAGAATGCACACTTGTATAAGCTAATATGAACCCGGGATCGCCGTATGGCTGGAGGCAGATCCCCTTGCGGTGGTCCCACTGCTGTGTCCTGAAACCTAAACACTATGTAAAAGGAGTCGACACTGATGACTTACGTGTTTGATAACCTCAATGTTTACGTTCAATGTTCGTTTACTTCAATGCGTAGCTTCGGTGTATCAGAGGTTTAGTGATGAATGCATTCAGTGGCACTGATGAATCATCAGTGCCTGCCATCAGCTGTACTAGACACTGAAGCTCAGTGAGTGTTCACCCATGGATGTGGATCAGTGGTACACCCACTGATGCTAACTACTCCTAACAGCTGTGTAAGCTCTCAGAACCACCCGATAACTGCTAGTAACATCTGATAACCATGGTGTTTTCATTCTTGTTTTGATATACGAAATTAAGAACTTCTGTGTGTTTTTGCTCTTAATTTTCTGCCTAAAACGTGAGTGTGAATCTAGATTATCCTCGAGTAAATTTCGTGTAAGACAAGACATATATATACAGGGTCAAAGTATTACTTGCAGAATGTGATTCCCTATGATTAAAGATTCTTATCCAAGTCTGTTGTAATTGATTCTTCACGATACGAATACCCAGTTTTCTAACAAGGTTGGCCATAGGACAATGTTACCCAAAGTAAGCCAACTTCATCATTCCGCAGCCGTCAGAAAAAAAGACTTACCAACGCTAGTTTCTAGAGTTTCTTTGGAGGTTTTTAGAGATTTCAAGCAGGAATACTTTAAACCATACTTGTTAATCTAGGAACAACCAGTAGAATTGTAAACTAATTAGGGAAGTTTTTATAATAGGTTATTATTATGTTTTAGAAGGACGGTAGGAGTAATTTAGTCTTCCATATTTTTGTGGGATTCTCATAGAATTAGGAAACCTTTTTGTACATATAAGGTATTTATCCCTTTGGAATAACAAGAACTGTAGCAATTCCCTCAATTCTTTCTTCATGATATCAGAGCACTCCTGACTTGGCTCCTCCCACAGTCATCTTCCTTATCACTTGCTACCATCAACCTTTTTCTGTGATCCGCTGCTGTTTCTCATATGCTCATCAATTGACAGGATGACTCTTCAGCCTCTTCACTAAACATCAGTATCAATTCTCATTCAGCACTAATAATTGGTTGTACTAGCCTCTAGGAACTTAGCAAAGGGGCGTGTTTAAAGAGAAGTAGGATAACAAATAAAGAACACAAGAATATGACTTATGAATAATAAAAAATTAGCAGCCGGTGTTGAACAGGAGATCTAACCAAAAAAAGAAGGTAGTCTTGAAATGCAAGCAAACATTTTGAACTAACCAAAGTTCCCAGCACACCTGTCAAAATAGATTTTAGTGCGTTTGGCCATCGCTGCAGAGCCATTGCAAATGCTAGTGCATCCTCTACCTATTAAGAAGTAAGAACAAATGATAGAACATGCCATATAAAATCTACTTATCTGGAACTGATTAGCACATATAAATCAACATGTATTGGTTCCTAACATATATTAGTTTTATTGTTTAGCCATAACAAAATTAAGATTGGACAGATAGAAGAGTATGTCAATCATATTCATCAGGAGATCAAAAAGAAAAGGAAAACAAAGACAAAGAGGAATCCATTAAGGGCTATTCAAATTAGCAAAGACAAATTTCTTAAGGAAAAGCAAAAACTTATCATGCACTATGTGTGAATTGTAAACGAGTTTTAGTAATAATCTCTTTCATTTGGATAGTTTTAACTTATCACTGTATAGTAGTTGGGGGAGACCATATATAGTTGAAGAGAGTTCCATTGTATATTTATTGAAACAAATGATGGTTTGCCAAACATGTGTCAGATTATTACTAAGAATGATATCAGTGCTACAAAAGGGTCTAATTGGCTGAGTAAAGCCTCAAAAGTAACTTAAAAATAAGCCTAAATTCATAACCCAGTACATAAGATATTTATCCTCTAACATCCTTCGATTAGAGCTTGGGAATTATAGAATAATAGCTTATATGCCTATGTTTATTACTGAGGGAGAACACTGAATTGTACATTATTATATCAGGTTGTAGCCTGTAAACACATATATACATGTAACAGAATAATGGGAAACACTAAGCAGGACCAACTAAACTTAACTAGGACTCCTCAATCAGAGAATAATATATATATATATATATATATATATATATTGTTGGAATATTGTAGAAAATCAAGCTAGAAATATCTCATAACCTTTGTGCTGATTCTTAGGGATCAATTACATAATTATTGATTCTCTCTTTATTAGATGGATTTGTAGTATATTCTCGAGGCTGATTTATAGGAGCCATTACAATTTTCCTTGTGTATAAATGTGTACTTTGTGTTCATGTTGAAATACATCGTCTTTTTCGCTCATTGAATTCTTATACGGTATCAGAGCCTGAGGATGCTGTGTTTCTGTGCTCCAACACTGTCCTGTTCCAGTTTCTTTTTCATCAGATTATAGTTCGGATTCCTATTCACTCTTTAAATCGGTCCAAGACTGCACTGTTTTTCCTTTGTTCATGTTGAGAAATTCATCATAATCCACAGTCCAACATCATGACAAAAGAAACAGTGGTATCCGAATCTTCTACCATTCACAGACCCAAACATACAGTGATAAATCTCCCTTGGTGATTACCAGTCACAAACTTGATGGAAAGAATTTTCAGCAGTGGTCTCAGTCAGTCCTAATGGTTATCCTAGGAAGAGGCAAACTGGGATACCTCAATGGTAGCATCCCTCGCCCTAGTTCTGCTGATAAACAATATGAGGCGTGGGAACTCAACAACTCACTTGTGATGGCATGGCTCTTCGATTATATGGAAAGCAATATTAGTCGTACCTATCTATTGTTTCAAACTGCAAAAGAAATATGGGATGTAGTCAATGAAAACTACTCTGACTTGGGAAATGCCTCCCAAGTGTTCGAGATCAAGATGAAGTTGAAAGAGATTCGTCAAGGTACTTCTGAAGTAACTAACTATTATAACTGTTGAAAGTCTTATGGCAGTATATGTTCTATGAAGCTGATTGGGGCGAAGTCGAAGAACATGTCAAATTCAAGGCACACTTGGAGAAAGAAAGACCCTACGATTTAGAAGAAGTATGTGGGAGAATTCTCGGACGAACCCCTTTACCATCAATTGGTGAAGCATTTGCTGAGGTTCGCCATGAAGAAAACCGTTGGCGTGTAATGCTCGGTGATCAAAAGGAAGCTAAACCATTCTCCAATAATGGTAGTCGTCCTATAGAGACCTCTGCACTTGTCTCAAAAGGACCAGCCATCTTTAAGCCTAGTGAAAGAAGAGACTCGGGGCCGAACAAGCAAGGAAATCGTGTATGGTGTACTCACTGCAACAGATCAGACCACACACGTGACAAGTGTAACAAGATTCATGGATATCCATCGGCAAACAAGAATCAAACAAGAACCAAACCACATCAAAAGCGCACCATACATCATCCTCGCTTGTACAAAAGGAACTACCTACCCCAGATGAGGTAATGAATGTCCAACCGAACAGAGCCTGGTCAGAGACTCTGCACCAACTCCTCAGCAAACCTATCAAAGGTAATTCCTTTAATGTCCTTTCTAAATCCAGTGGTAATAACCATTGGATCTTAGACTCAAGGTCCTCTGATCACATGACCTGAAACTCCACTCTATTTCACACTTGTAGTCCCTGCCACAACCAATCCAGGGTAAGGATAGCCGATGGATCCTTCTCCATGGTTGCGGCCACGGGCTTGGTTCACCTCACAGATCAAATCACACTCACTAAAGTTCATTTTCCAAATTTGGTCTTGTAATCTCCTATCTATTCACAAGCTCACTCAAGATAACAAATACCTGGCTCTATTCTCTTCTACTGATTGTTGTGTGCAGGAACAGGTACCGGGGAGGACGATTGGCAATGCTAAAGTCGAAGATGGACTCTATATCTGGGAAAGCAATGAATCCAAGAATAAACAAGCACAAGGACTTGAATAAAACATTTTTAATCCTACAACTCCAATGTTGGGTTTATCTCCTCAAAGACAAATTAGAAGCCCCCAAAAAACATCCAAACCTTTCACACCATGATTCAAAACCAGTTCCAAACAACAATCTACACGCTCCGTACCGATAATGGTAGGGAATACTTCAAATCCACCCTAGGAAATGTCTAGACACACCCCAACAAAATGGTGTCTCCAAACGAAAGAACCGACACTTACTAGCCATAGCACGTGCCCTAATGTTCACTATGCATATTCCAAAATATCTGTGGAGTGAAGCTGTTCTCACCGCATGTTACCTATAAATCGATTACCTTCAAAAGTTCTTAGTCTACAAACCCCAATTGATGTCCTAAAGAAATCATATCCACTATTTCAAGCCTCCTCTCTTTCACCTTTGTATGTACAGCCTTTGTCCATTCACGTGATCCACATAAGTCCAAACTTGATCCCCATGCACACAAATGTGCCTTTATTGGCTATCATCGACACAGAAAGGATACAAGTGTTTCTCACCAACCTTTTTCGAATTTAAGCCTTATTTTCCCATGCCTCATCTTCAAGGGGAGACTCTAAATGAAGATGAGTCCTTACATGGACTCCTCGACCTTGAAGGTGCTAAAAATCGGGAAATCAACATGATACTCTAATAGTGCCCATGCCAGAAAATTCATTACTAGAACCACCACCAAACACCACACCTGTCCCCGAATCTGATGGACCTCATTTGCTAGTTTATACGAGGAGACATCGCTCTACCAGAATGAATAAATCAACGACTATGGACTGCCAAGAAGTTATTCCCGAAAACTGTTTAGAAAATGAATAATCATCAGTTGCTGTCTCGGACACCACAGGTCATGAAAATCTCCCAATTGCCCTTTGAAAGGAACTCCGATCATGTACAAAGCACCCCATTTCCAACTTTCTGTCCTATGAGAAGTTGTCTACTACACATAGAGCATTCGTCACTCATTTGAATCAGGTTGGAACTCCAAAAAACATAAACGAAGCTCTTCAATCCTCAAAATGGAAGAGTACAGTCTTGGAAGAACTAACAGACTTGAACATGGGAACTAAGTGACCTTCCAATAGGAAAGAAGACTATGGGATGCAAATGGTTGTTCACCACCAAATACAATAGTGATGTTAGCATAAACAGGTACAAGGCAAGACTTGTAGCTAAGGGCTACACTCAAACATTTGGCATTGACTATCAAGAGACTTTTGTCCCTATTTCAAAACTCAGTACTATTTAAGTTTTACTCTCCTTGGCAGCTAACCTCGATTGGCCTCTAATGCAATCGGACATTAAAATTGCATTCCTAAATGGTGAACTCAATGAGGAAGTTTATATTGATTTTCCCCCTAATTTTGAAAACTTCGAAGGGAAAGTGTGCAGACTGAAGAAGTCACTTTATAGGCTAAAACAATCACCGTGGACATGGTTTAGCCGATTCACTCAAGCGTAACAAGTAGAGGATACAATCAAGGACAAGCAGATCACACATATCACACTGTGTCCTTCAACCACTCAGAAAATGGTAAGATCTCAATTCTTATCGTATACGTTGAAGACATAATCATGACAGGAGATGACTTGGAAGAAATCAACCAACTAAAAACCTACCTCAGCTCGGAGTTCGAAATGAAAGACCTTGGACCACTCAAATACTTCCTAGGAATGGAAGTTGCAAGAAGCCAAGAAGGCATCTCTATTTCACAAAGGAAGTATGTACTTGATTTACTAGCAGAGACAGGAATGATGGGATGTAAACCTGCTAGCACCCCTATGGAACCCAAGAAACTGGGAGCTGAGGAAGATAGCCTAGAGGTTAACAAAGAGAGATATCAAAAACAGGTAGGAAAACTCATCTATCTCTCTCACACAAGGCAGCCTTTGTGAAATAGAGATGCCGTCAGTTGATTCATGTCTGCTTCAACAATTAAACATTGTGTACTTCTAGAACAAATTCTTTGTGGTATCTCGGTCCATGGCTGAATCAGATTATAGAGTGATGGCTGACTCGATTTGTGAGATGGTACAGATACATCAGCTACTTGAGGAAATTAGCTATAAGCTTGCACTTCCTGCAAAGCTTTGGTGTGATAACGAGGCATTATGAAATCAATTGTCATTTCGTTCGAGACAATATTGAAGATAGTTCATTGCAACAAGACATGTTCCGTTACAAGATCAGTTAAGAGATAATTTTACAAAAGCCCTGAATGAAAACTTTATTGACTGTATCTGTAGCAAGTTGGGCATATGATCAATATTTATGCTCGAGCTTGAGGGGGAGTGTTATGGAATCAACTTGAAGAGAAAACTAAGGGGGTGTTTGGTAAGAGGTATTAAGCAGTAATTAATGGGAATGAAAATAAAAGAAACTGTTTGGTTTTTTATAATATAATGGGTCCATTCCTTCATAAGCCTAAATTTTCATTCCAGGTTTAACTGAGGGGGATGAAAATTCATTCCCATTTTCATTCCTTGTCATTTTCATTTTCATACCCATTTCATTCCTCTGCCTGAACTAAACGCCCCCTAAATCATTTAGATTAGGAAATTATAGAGATTTAATTTCCTTTAACCATGTATAAATATATGTATTCTGTATGCAAATTGAGTCACGAGAAATACAACCACTGTTGATTTCAACCCCCAAAAAATTTAATGATTGATTGCATTATATAAAACCGAAACACTGTTAATCTTACCATTCTTGCTGACTACTTAAAGCAAACATCTTCAATGATTGTCATCCCCATTCCCCTCTTCTAATACCTCCAACCAAGCACCCCTTAACTTTACCAGATCAAATAATAGAATTTGTTCAAAGAATCAAAGTAATAACAGTATGGCAGATTGCAAACCAGAGCAGTAATCAGATTGCAGAGACCTTATGGCTGTTGGAGCAGCAAATGTTGCAAGGGTGCCAGATCCAGGAAGAAGATTGGACTATAGAGATATATTTTGACCTTGGAAGAGAGAAGAGAAGGTCGAAAAAAACCAAACAACAAACAATTAAAAGGCAAGTCAATCAGTAGAGGCAAGAAGCGTTTGCAATTATCTATAATGATGGTGGCACTATCAGACATTAACAGCTGTAGCCCATATCCTGAAAAGCTATTTCGCAGAGGGTAGTCAGCTGCTGTTGGCAGCTAAGGTTAGGTGGGGATAGGTTTAGACATTAGGGTCAAACGCTAGTTGTTTTAGAAAAGACTGATGTTATTACTGATGGGAAAACCCCATCAGATAGAATAGATAGTGGGCCACTCACTGTCTATAGAAAAAGACAAACAGAATACCATAAACAATGAACTAGAGAATACACAACCGGAATAAAGGCAAACCGAATGAAACTATGATAAGTGATGGAAACATCAATAGATATAAGAACCACATTTTATGGGCAGTGCAAACACGCCAAATGTCGGGTCCCAACGCACCACAACCTTATAAATTCAAAGGCACAATATATATTTCATAAACAATTGATATAATGGCTGTTAAACCGAGGGATGTGAGATGAACCTTCAGAAGGGTCATTTCTCGGAGACCTCTTTCGACTAAAAGCATACTTTCCACACTTCCTTCTCCAGAGATTTCATTTGCATCCTTTAGAACTTTCTCTCTCTGCTCTTTATCATTGTTTACTGTTCACAGTAAAGGATGAGGGTGCTTATGCTTTGTTTTAGAAACAGAACTAGTGAAAATAGGTATAAATGTTCATGCAAGTAGTATGAAGCTCCTTGTGAGATGAAAAAATACCCATTAAATTTTCTTCTTTTGCTTTCTGTCCAGCAGCAATTACGACTTCCACAGGAAGAGGAGCAAATGATGACCAGTACTCGTATCTTGCACCAGCAATTTCTGCATGAATACCTATGAGATATTGCACTTGCCAAGTGAGTATCAAAGAAATGTATAGCTAAAACATGGTTAAAGGCGGCATGGCTTAGCACACCTACAATTATGTTTTTTGTTAGCTAAAGGGGGTTTTATGTTAGGTGTTGAAATCAAACTCATTTGGCAATCTTGTCAAAGACAAAGAAAAAAAACAAAGACCTTCTTGGGATCCCTTCACCAAAATTAGCTTTCTGGTTAAGAGTTCGAAAAAATAGGCTCAAACTCAAGAGGTAGGATAGAACACTAAACAAACCCTAATTTCTTACCCAAGCAAGAAGTGAAAATCTGCGTTAAGGGGGAAATCCTCAGTGATGGGGATGGTGAGAGTGGCAGCGAGGACAAGGAGAGATCATGGGTGAGGAAGACGAAGAGGACACGGTGAGGATAGTACAAGCAGCACAATGGTGAGAAGGCACCAACCATGAGCAGCCAACAACAGTGATCGGCAAGCCAGCAAGGGTTAATGTGGGGGAGGCAGATGGAGTAGAGGCTGGAGGAAGGGCAGAAGGTAGAAAAAAATTGGAGCACAAAAGATAGAAACCAAGTTTGTTGGTTTCAAAGCATCAATCATTATAGTCAAATAGTCAAACATGTTTTTATTTACCCTTTTTGCAAGCCATGAAAAAGTTGAACTCAGGTTAACATGTTTGAAAGCAAGTTTCCAAAATTTTGTGAAATGAATTCTGATATACCAAAAACAGAAAGGGTGCCTAACATGTTCTCTTACCAATTTACACATTCTGACAGTGTAATAGGAAAAACAAAAGTACACGAGCATTGTCAAATTCATATATATTCAAAGGTGAATCAGGACTTAATTAAAAAGGATTGAAGGTGCTCTAGAAAAGAGTGTGCATATAGAATGGAACTGCACGTTAGTTTCAGAGACGTGATATGCCAATGTACACTAAAATCAATGAAGGTTTGAAGATATTTACTAGCTTTATGGGCAAGTGAGAATGCTGGAGGAGATATGCTACAAAAGCTGGATGGTAGGGAACACATAATATAGAAAACTAATAGGGGTATTAATGACCTGAACCAAGTAACATCTTGTAAAGATGAATGTTCATTGATTGATAATTTGCATTGTAGGTTTTAAAACTACTGCCTTGCCACTTCACTACACTATGTCCAATTCAATTTATTCTGTGGTTGGGTTTTAATTAGGTTTCTTAATTTATCAACAAAAACTTGAGGAAAATAAATCTACTTCAGTACTCGGATGTCTTCGCTTTAGTGTTTAATAGAACTATTTCTTCACTGATTTTGTGAATATTTATTCAGCTCGTTCATCCATGAATGGAGGTACATTTGTTCTAAACTTAATATTCTTCTAAATTTCTTAGTTTCCTATAGAAAAAGATATTTACTTTTTTCCCTTCTTTAACCCTCAGCATTAGTCATCAACAAGATCCCACCGACCACCACATATCACCTGAAATAATGGAAGAAGCACCAACTCGCTTGTTCAGAACAAGTAACAAATTTTGAGTAAGTTTACCATGTTGAACACATAAACTCCAGTACCGAGCAAGCCAGCATCTCTTAAGAACGACTTCTTCCTAAGACATAGAAAACCATAATTAGAATAATGGAACAAGATGACTGATATATTCAATGAGTGAATTTGTTTACCAATCATCATACTTAGAGTTTCTTCGCAAACTAACCATTGTACTTGCAAAATGCAAAGGAAAAGAAGAACGAACTAAAAGTACACCAAAATGAAATATTCTAGACAATTTCCAATGTCTATTTTGCAATAAAACTGCAAATGCGATGATTAGAATCACTCACTTTGACATACTTGAGTTTTTTCTTATTATAGCAAATGCGTTGGTTAGTTTGCAACAATCTAGCAAGTACAATGGTTGGAAAACTCATTTGCTCAATACTCTGTGAAGCCCATAGTTTGTAGATACCATCTCTTCGTGTGTGAGTACCACTCTTTGTGTCAAGGTCTTAAGTGATTTAATTTCACACTCATACACATGAAGATGTTCCATGACAGAGGCCGCTTCTTCCCTAGCCATCTTATCAAGTGAAATAACATCATTAAACCCAATAGTCGACTCCATGTCAATCACGAAAAATAAATGCTCCACACTGAAAACACGATTAAAGAATAAACGTACAAGACAGATCTCCGAATACCTCAGCATCCACCCGAAGAGCCTCTATCTCTCCCCACTTAATAGCATTATTTTGTGCTGCCGTTTGTGCTGCCGTTTGTGCTGTTGCCTCTCTCAAAGCAGCCTGCAAGAAATTTATTCCTCAAATTCATACTATTATTATTTATGTCACACAAATCCAAATCTATTCAAAGAAATAGTGAGGATCATCTTTCCTGTTATTAAGGTTGACTTTTTCCTAAAACAGCGATCGAGTGTTCATATGTTTCCTAGAGTAGAGATTGTATATCCATTTTTGTAACACCCATATATCAAAGGGATACACACAACTTTGATGGACAAGAATGAAGATATAAAAAGATAGTATTATTAGTTGATTATTATTTATATATGGAGAGGATAAGTTTGAAAATATATATTATTATTTTATTATTTTTTATAGTAAATGGAAAAAAAAAAGGGGCAATTCAAATGCTTCATAGACAACCCCCTATGTCTCTTTCCGTCCAACTCACCGGGAGATCGATTTTGTCGGTTTACAACAATTAACTAGTCTAATCAAATTTTATGTAATGCGACTAATATATTTTTTAGACCAGGGATTCATGATACGATCACGATGCACTTAGATTAGAAAACCAACAATGCTTTATCTATTAAATGAAGTTGTTTTAGCAAACTGGGTAGTTATAAGCATTTTTAAGTTATACGATGTATATGTTTTCGTATTCAACAAGTAAAGGTCGTAATGATGGTTTCAGCTGGTTCCTTGGAGAGGTACAAAGCACGGCTAGTTGCTAAAGGATATACTCAAACATTTGGAGTTTGATTAGCTTGAGACCTTTGCACCAATGGCAATAATGAATACAATCAGAATTCTATTATCCTGAACATCTACTTTGGTCAGCCTCTACTGTAGTTTGATGTGAAAAATGCTTTCTTGCATGGCAACCTAGAAGAAGAGGTTTACGTAGAAGCACCATCAGATTTTGATAAATCTTTTGGCCGAAGAATCTGCCGATTAAAGAAAGCACTATATAAACAGTCCCTATGAGCTTGGTTTGCGAGGTTCACAGATTCAATGAAAAGGGTGGAGTTTGAACAATCTCAAGGAGACCATAATTTGTGAAGAGGCCGGAAGACGGTAAGGCTATAGCCTTAATTGTAATGTTTGATGATATTTTTGTCACTGCAACATCTTTGGGAGATTGGAAAGTTCAGAAGAAGTATAGAAATCAAAACTAGAAAAACTCCACTACTGGAATTGAAGTAGCATACTAAAGAAAGCATAGCCCTCTCAAAATACAAGTATACACATTACAGATATGGATTCTTGGTTATAAACCCTCAGACATACCAATTATGCAAGGCCACAAGCTCGGGGAATAACCATACTGTATGCCATGGACAGAGGGAGACGTCAAAGGGTGGTGGGCAGATTAATCTAGTTATACAATACTCACCAAATATAAGCTAGGCAGTAAGTGTAGTTAGTTAAGAGATGCATACGCCTATGGAGAAACACCTAAAGGTTGTATACAAAATATTAAGATACTTGAAAGGTACACTTGGAAAAGGGATCCTTTACAACAAAGGTGCATCACTTAGCCTTGAAGCTTATACTGATGCAAACTAGGCAGGCTCGACACTGGACAATTAATCAACCTCAAGACTTGGAGAAGCATTAAAAAGCGGTAGTGGAAAGGTCAACTGTTGAATCTGAATTTCGTGCTATGGTGTAGTAGTGTGTGAATTCCTGTGGGTGAATTGTCCTAGGCGACTTGGGAACTGATTGGAAAAGGAACCATGAAGCTGTACTGTGACGATAAATCAGCCATTAACATAGCCTATAATAAAGGGGAAATTGGAGAGTGGCTTCTTATAGGGAGAGCAACTACATGCCGTTCTTACCAAAGGACTATCCAGTACTTCACTTCAACGGATATTGAACAGCTCGGATGAATGATATTTTTCACCCCAAGCTTGAAAGGGAGTGTTGGCAGAAGTTAACCTTCCTACTCTTTACCACAAATATAATTATTGTTTTCATTAAATTATATTTCTATGGTAGCAAATTTTGTATTTTTTCTAGAATCAGAAAGTTCCCTTTTCTTGACTAGCAAATCCCTTAAATTAGAGAATGCATTCTAGGTCTTTCAGGTTGTATATAAACCAACTTCATTTCCTACACGTAGCAAGTCGAGTACATCGGATATTTATGTGTTCAATTTGAAGTGTTAAGATGTATTTTTTTTCCTATTAACAATAAAGATAACCCCAATACAAATCATGATGTTTTTGGGACACTTGGATCATAGAAGCAAGCATAGGTAAAAAAAGTGAAAGCTTATGAATAAAAGCCATGCTATCAACACAAGTGCTGAAGTGCATGCAAAAGAAAACATCATATCTGGATAAGAATTATCTGTATAGCACAAACCTCCCTTTGTTGCAGAGCTGCCTCCTTCCTGAATGACACAAGATAAATGAGAAAGTATAATGGGAATCATCTGGAGACATAATAATCAGATTACTGAGATTTGATTCTTGCCTGCTCAAAAATTTAGCTTCTAAAGAAACACCTTCCCCAAGATTAGCCACCTATCCATAAGAGATTTTTGTCTTCACTGAGTTTCAGATCATACCAAAAGAACCAAAACAAAACAAATAAATTGTACAACCAAGGTTTTAGATATCTGAAGAAGTACATTTCATGAAGGATAAAAAGTGGTCAAATTTCAACAAAACATCAAAAGGCATGAATTATGGATCATTGGTAAAACTTGGATATCTCACTTATGGTGTAAACACTATCTGTAAAACTTGGATATCACAACTTCTTCTGCCAACATTACACCGTGGTGTTCATATCTCTCATATACTGAGATGTACATGATGTGCTGCTACATTCTATAAAGATATGAAACTAGAAGTGCAGACGAAACAAATGAACATTAATGGCTCCTAAAGGTTCCTTAGCTGATGCCCATCGCAAAGCAACAAGTGCAACATTGCCATCTAGAAGCTCTTAAATTCTTTCCATACACAAATAAGTAAGAACATACAACATGTCGTAACACTATTTTTTTAACAATCTATCAATAATACAAAAGCCTGAACTCCCCAAACCCATTTACCCCCAAAATAAACCCTCATGAATGATGCTCTTACTCTAAACAACAGCATGCCATAAGTTTACAGTCATTGGTAATATATCAATCATATGCAAAGAAGGTAAGCTTCACTTTTATTGCTTCGAACCCTGTACCAGATATGGTTCATAGAGAACAACCTTGAGTGCAAACATGTTAAGAAGATAACATAATCACCTATGTGAAGTAAGACCGTCATACAAGAGCATATATTTAGTTTGTAAAAGCAATGACATCAAGTAGGAAGATCCAAACTAGTGCCATTTTGATAGGAACCAAGAAGTTTATTTAGTGGAAGCAACTAAGAATGAATGAAAAGGGCTGGTCATCGTTTGGGAGGTCAGTCATCGTTCCCGTAGATGCCTAAATGAACCTATTCCAGGATCCCAATAAATCATAATCTATTCCCAGTTTCTTCCCAGTCCTAGGATCCTCAATCATAGTCATCAGCGTGAGCACCTCTCAGACCCCGTTGAAATTACATGCGTTAAACCTCTTCTTGAGCCCAATTTGGACCTTCCATTTGACATGATGTTAACCCATCAGTCTCAATGGGCCAAAGATCAATTATGAGTGTTGAATATTAGCTGTAAATATTCTTTATATCTCCTTTATTTAATTTCCTAGAATAATTAGGAGCCTTTAGTATATTTAATCTCCTAGAATAATTAGGAACCTTTAGTATGAATACTGGTCGTATCTTTGTATTATTAAACATATGAAATACAAAAGATTTTCTCTCAAACCCTTTCACATGGCAGCAGAGCGGGTATGAACCCATTGCCTAGCTGTGCTTCCTACCAGCACCAAGCCTTAGGCTATGTCTATAACATGCCCTCTTGCGTGGTGAAACTACTGCAATTACATAGGCACATCTCTGATCATGTTCTACATAGATCCATAAGTGTAACACCCCACATTTTTTACTCTAAACTGAGACCTAATGAAAGGTTTTACGTACCGAGTCTCATAGTCATTTATATATAAATACAAGAAGCACATTAGTAAAATGCGGAAGCGATTAGATTTCAAAGAAACATAGTTTATTTTATGACAAACGTTCAATTGTGGACCTAGTTACAAAGTACACTTCTATCTTCTAATAATGCATACTAAGGTACATTCTAAAACCAAATTATACAAACCAAATCGACTCCTAATTGGACCACAAAATGTAGCTTTCGATAACTTCTTTGAGACTTCCTTGTCACGTCTCAAGTAGCCTTTCCCCACAACTAAGATACATATTTATAACTTTAAGCCATTGATTAGCTTAGTGATTACAAATCTCATTTTAATGAATGAAATTTCCAAGAAATCTATTCACAGCCTCAAATAAGCTAGTGTGTCATGTATATGCATGTAAAACATTTCAGATATCCAGATTCCGATTTCTTCTGGTGGGTGTCTCACCTTTCCAGTTTCTTTTTGGAACCCCTCATCAAGGGTTCAGGACCGTTTCTACAACCCCCTGCTACGGTTATACAGTCTCGGTGATTCCTAGTCCACCGAGCCTCGTTTCAACTGTTCTTTCATGGCTGTAAACTCATTGGCCCTAATTTTTCGGTAATGATTTATACCAGTGACCAAAATTGTTCTTATATTATGCATTTCAAGGACACATATAACATGTTATGCATAGTCATACCATTAAAGGCTATTTATGTTCTTTATAATAACCAAATATGAACAAATTTGCAAAAAAACATACACACAAATATGTATCTCAGGTTTTGCTGTTGTCTACTTGAATCTCTTAACCTAGAACAGACCCTCTCCTTCATGCTTCTCTATTTCATGTTTATGCCATCCGACGATTTGTATGTAAGGGAGAAGGCTTGTATGTGTGCTTAGGTTTTAGTTTTCTGCCAAGAATTATGTAAATAGAAGTGGAAAGAGGGGTATTTATCCCCCCCCCCCCAAATAAGAGGCGATGTCTGCCAAAAAGAACTCATCAGGATTTTATATCTTCCTGTCACCATCCTTTTATTTTCTCAGAGTTATATAAACTTAGCAAGAGGTGGCAGACAAAAGGTGGACCACTAACCCATTTGTTTCATGTATGTTTTCCTTTCTTTACTTATTCGATTGTTATATATTTATATGTATGTGTGTGTGTATATATATTGAAACATATTTAATTTAATATCTTCTATCATAAAATTCTTATACATATAAATACATCATTAAGTTCGGCTTCAAAACCTAACTTTCTTGGTTTTTTTATGAAGTTCTCGTCTTATAAATCCCAAACACGTAATATGGCCATCGTTGAACTTCCTAAAACTCCGCAAATTTACACCTTCCATTACTTTTGGTGTTAGTTCATACATTGTAGGTTAGTCGAATCCGAATTCGAACATATCTTCATATTTGTTTTTGATTATCGAATAAGACTACAACATCCGTTTAATCTCAATCTTGATCATAATACATAAAATTCCTATTATACACTTCTAGTGTATATATTTTTATATATGTTTACACTTGCAATTGTTTGTATTCATGCATATATTTATTGTCTTATCTTTGAGGCCTACCAATAAAGTATAAGACATACTACTCATTTTAGTTAACCAACGGTTTATCTATAAAGCGTCTAGCCCCGAATACAATAAGTTCTTGCTGGACTCAGAATTTAGTAGAGTCCATATGAATGCATGATAACCTAAATGCTCATCTACTAATTGCAAGATGTAAATTGGATGTAAATTGCAAGATGTAAATTGGATGTTCTGTCACTACATCCACATCTTTGGCATAACTTCAGTGAATACATTGAATTGGTAAAAATCACATGTGTCATATCGAATTGGGATAACATACAGATTACACTTTCAGAAGGGAGACCATACCTGTTTCTCTAGCAGCCTAGCCCTCGCTTCGGCTTCTTCGCACCTTTCCTCCGCAATTCGAAGCTGCAAAATACATACAATAAGATGTATATACAAATCATGAACTTATCTCTTGACCAAGTGATGAGTTATCTCCTCATATTTTGATATTAAACAGTAAGGTAGCAACAACCTCAATATTAATATACTAAATGTCAGCTACTAACTTATTGAATTATGGAATCAAAGTGCCGTTATTTTAGGAATTTAATACAGAATTTTGCTGGCAGTTGTAGCCCTTTGATATATTTGCTATCAATTAGTTTCCTAGCCGAAAGCGTATTGTTATTTAGCTTCCTAGTTTAGAGGATTTGGTTTCAGTTTATTAGGAGAGTATTTTGGCTGACTATTAAAGTATGTACATTTTCCTATATAAGGTGGAGCTTGAGAGAAGAATTTTCCTTTCTATTTTTTGTGTATCGACCAATTACATAGATGATAAAAAATAATAAATAGTGCTTAGTAATACCCATGAAAATAGGAATTATATACTTATTAACCTAATGATTCTCCATAATTTACATATTACATTTACTCATATACTTCTACAACCCCCTCCTCTGGGGCATAAATCTTAATGTAGATCATTGAAGTGCTTTGGTTAATATGACTACAATTTGCCTATGCGATGAAGTATGTTTCATGTAATGATTTTTGCTTCAACCTTCTCACTTACAAAGTCTAGCAATTTCCACATGTTTTATTTTGTCATGGTGGACTAGGTTCTTCACAATGCTAATGGTTGCATCATTGTCACACATATAAGAGATTGAACCAAAATTCTCTACTTTCAATTTGTTTTGGGATGCATTCCTTCTCATATTCCTTGCAACATTGCTTGGTATTTGGTTTAACACTATTTCTTGACACAACAAGTGATGTAGAACAAGCAGCCCTGGAATTTGAAGAAAGAATTGGAACGACATGAAAACCATAGGCTCAAGTCCAAGTTTCCTCTGTTTTAGTTTTAGTTTCTATGGGAAAATGTAAAAATGTAAATGATTATGTATTTAATGTAGGAGTAATGAGAGTCGATTATAATCCCATAATATTAGTGATTGTAGGCAATCCCATAAAATCAGAGATTCATAGAATAGTTTCCTTTTCTTTCCCTTTGCCTTGTGTATTTATATTGTATGCTTCTTTGTCAAGAATGAATAAGAAACACAGCAAAATTCCTAAATCTGTTATGGTATCAAAGCTATCGAAGCTTGGGAAGCCTTTTTAGCCTTCATAAACCTTCTTTGAAAATTTCGCAGGCCTTCATTGCCTCCTTCCTTCGATTCCTTTTTGTGGCCTTCATTGCCAACAATTCCTAACCCAACACCGAAAGAATGACAGAACCCAAATCAGAATCTGCCATAACCCATGTTTCTCAACCAGAAGATTTACAGCACATCCATGCATCATACTGATTGGATGGAAAGAACAATCTCAAATGGTCCCAACCAGTTCGAACCATCCTGAAAGGGAAGGGAAAAATCAATCACCAGAACAGGACCCAAGCGAGAAGATCCCAAGTTTGAAGCATGGGATGAAGAAGATTCCATGATCATGGCGTGGTTATGGAGTTCTATGATTCCTGAAATAAGTGACACTATGATGTTCATGGCTAATGCCAAAGGGATCCGGGATGCAATTCAGCAAACGTACTCTAAAGCAAAAGATGCATCTTAATCAAGACCAATTGCTCTGAAGATGCGGCGATACTCAAGGACTTCATTGAACAAGACAGAGTTTATGACTTTCTTGTAGGTTTAAACTCTGACTTTGATCAAGTGAGGATTCAAATCCTTGGAAAATCTGAAGTTCCTTGCTTTAATGAAGTGGTGGCTATTGTTAGAAGTGAGGAGAGCAGGTTAATGCTTGAGACCCCTCCAATGAATGGCTCGGCAATGGTGGCCGAAATGTCAAGATAAGGAGGGAAAATACAAATCTGGATTTGGGAAAGGTGATCATAAAATGGAGATGGGTTGTGGTGCACTTATTGCAAAAAGGCACGTCACACCAAGAAGAAATGTTGGAAGTTACATGGCAAACCTCCAAGCCAAGAGTGGGGTAGAAAAGTGCAACTGCTGGAGAAAAAGGACAAGCCCATGTCGCAATCAACCCAACCCCAGAAGAAGTCAAACAAGAGCCAGCAAACCTCAATCAAGAGGAATTGGAAAAGCTCAGGTCATTTTTCAGCACTCTGGAAAAACCTTCTGGTGATACTCATTCCCAGGTACTTGTTTTTTAACCTATTCAGGTGAGCATCCTTTTTCGTTTAGATTTAATGTTTCAGGTTCAACCATAAAATACTCGTGGATCATTGATTTGGGAGCAACTGACCATATCACTCACTCTTCCAAACACTTCTCCACATACTCACCTTATCCAAGTAACAAGAAAATTGCCACTGCAAATGGAACTCAAACCACCATAGCCAGTACAGGAGATATCCAACTCAGCTCATCCATTCTTTTAAAAAATGTTCTTCACATCCCAAAATTGTCTAGTAATCTGATTTCCGTAAAGAAACTAGCACGAGATTTACCTTGTCAAGTGGTATTTTGTGATGAATATTGTTTGCTTCAGGAAAAGGATTCGGGGAAGACGATTGGACTTGCTAAGGAAAAGAATGATCTATATTGTCATGAGATGCCAAAAAGTACCAGATTATCTCACTCTCTCGTATCAGAATCTATTCTTTCCAATATAGAAAAAATCATACTTCATCATTGTCGTTTAGGTCATCCCTCATATAGGATTATTAAAGTTATTTTTCCTTATTTGTTTAAAATAATCAATAGAAAAAGGAAATTTAATAGAACCGTAACAGTGAATTTAGGGAAGAAGGGAGCTGATGGAATTAATGACGAAAAGGAATTACAGAAAAGGTCCAGGGAGAATCCCTCTCTCAATGCATATGATGCAAAGAGCCAATACAACAGAAAATGCAAATAACATGACATCATATGTACTCCCTTCCCTTCCCTTCCCTTCCCTTTTAAAGATACTATTCTCTAACTAACTTTCTAGCCACTTTCCACAATTGCCCTTTTAGCCCTTCTAGAATAAACTTTCCACTCCCTTGCCTTATTCCCATTAGACTTAATGATTTCTGGATTCATATCACTACTCCCGCCATCAAATAAAGTCTTGTCTTCAAGACTTGCATCCGGAAACTGACTCTGGATAGTCAAGACATCCTCCCACGTAGCTTCTTCGATTGGCAACCCCTTCCACTGAATTAGCCATTGATCGACTGAGTCTTGGAAATCATTTACCACACGAAAAGCCAAAATTGCAACTAGAACAAGCTGATCGGCAGTACCTAATTCCAATTCTGGAGGTAACACCTAGTCGCCATCCGATCTCACCGCTTTCTTAAGTAAAGAAACATGAAAGACGGGATGAACCTTCGAAGAGGGAGGCAAATCCAAACGATAAGCCACCGGACCCATTTTTTCCACAACTTTAAAAGGGCCAAAAAATCGAGCAGCGAGCTTCTGATGAATACGCGATGTGACCGACATTTGACGATACAGTTTCAACTTGACATACACCCATTCCCCTTCAACAAAGTCAACCTCTCTGCGTTTTTTATCTGTTTGTTCCTTCATTGTTGCCTGAGCTTGAGCTAAGTGAATCTTGAGTTGCTTCAATGCCTCATCCCGGTCAGGAAGTTCTTGTATCACTGCCTGAACACGTATCTCCCCTAGAATAAATTGAATGATAGATGGGGGTTTACGTCCATAGACAACTTCAAATGGGGACTTGCCGGTTGAACTATGGAATGTCGTATTATACCAGAACTCCGCCCAAGGAAGCCATGTTGACCAATTACGGGGCTGGTCAGTAGCAAAACAACGTAAATAACATTCGAGACAACGGTTAATCACTTCCGTTTGACCATCCATTTCCGGATGATAAGCAGAACTCATGAGCAGCTTCGTGCCTTGTGAGCGAAAAAATTCTTGCCAAAAACGACTAAGAAATAGAGGGTCACGATCTGATGATCGATTTTGGAATTCCATGGTGTCTAACTACTTCTCGAACAAAGATTTCAGCTACACTTTTGGCTGTATACATGTGTTTAAGCAGAATAAAATGGTTGTATTTCGATAGTCTGTCTACCACTACTAAGATAGCATCAAACCCCTTTGATTTAGGCAGTCCAAGGATGAAATCCATTGAGAGATATTCCCAAATGGCTTCCGGAATGTCTAATGGCTGTAACAAACCCCCGGGTAAGGCTGAATTGGCTTTACAATGCTGACAAACATCACATTCACGAACGAACTTTTAACGCTGCCCACCATGCCCGGCCAATATAAATTTGCAGCAAATCGTCGGTAAGTATGGTAATAACCGGAGTGCCCTCCGGAAGCAGACCAATGAAACTCAAGTAATAAACTTGGAAGTGAGAGAAATAACCAAACGGTCTTTATAGAACAATACCCCCTGTCGAACTGTATAACCAGGACTTAAAGACGGGCTAGCTAAACAACTCAAAGTAATCCGTTGGAGTTCTGTATCAGCTCGAGCTTCACTTATTAAGTCAGCACCTTGAAGCCATAATGGGGTAGAAGATAAAGTTAGAAAGTCACCGAATCAGCACGACGAGAAAGTGCATCAACAACACGATTTTCTCTACCCGGTTTGTATTGAATGTCAAAGTTGTAGCCAAGGAGTTTAGCCACCCAATTCTGTTGGTCAAGAGTGGTTATGCGCTGCTGTAACAAAAATTTAAGGCTCTTTTGGCCGGTATAGACTATGAAAGTAGTACCTAACAAATACGAACGCCAATGTTGAACGGATAAAACTAACGCCATGATTTCCCGTTCATAGGCTGACTTCGCCAAGTTGCGATCACTCAAAGCTTTACTGAAGTAAGCAATGGGCTGACCCTGTTGCATGAGCCCAATGCCCCTCCCAGAGGCATCACACTCAACAATAAAAGGTAAACTGAAATTGGGGAGGGTTAGAACAGGAGCGTTTGCCAAAGCAGCCTCTAAAGACTCAAATGCTTGCTGCGCAGT